GTTCGTCAACGACATCTTCGAGCGCATCGCGGGCGAGGCGTCGCGCCTGGCGCACTACAACAAGCGCTCGACCATCACGTCGCGGGAGATCCAGACGGCCGTGCGCCTGCTGCTGCCCGGCGAGCTGGCCAAGCACGCCGTGTCCGAGGGCACCAAGGCCGTCACCAAGTACACCAGCGCCAAGTAAATACCTCTGTAGGCTATGATTGATTCAAAGGCTCTTTTCAGAGCCACCTACTTTGTAACAAGAGAGCTGTATAACTACTCTTTAGGGGAATAATTGAAAGACCTTTTACTACCAAGTAGTGTAATTACGTTGGGAAGAAAGGGGCAGGTTTTGAGCTCTTATAATCGGTTTACAATGAAATTGTCCGTGTTCCTTTGCTTATATCTGTAGCGGTATACACTCCAGCTCTCTTTGCACAGATCACACTTAATTCCCCAATTCAATTGTTTACCGAGTACTACAGTGCGTTTACAGCTTTTTCAATGTTGCAACTCTGAAACCCAGGCTCCGGTTTCCTGAGTAATTCACCTTTTGAAGGCAGGAAAGGGTGGGCCTCTACCGCTGGGCGTGACAGTGTTTGAATTTCCCGCCCTTGGACATCTGGCGCCACCTCCTGGCTGTCTGGGAGGGTCCCCCTTGGAAAGGAAGTGGTGCTGCATTTTCTTTGTACTTTTCTCTGGAAGGCCAAGACACTCCAAATGTAACTGCAAAATACGAATGACTGGTTGAGGCAAAAGAGGTAGTGGGGACAGGAAAGAATAAATGGGTGTAGGGAGAGGGGAAGTCGATCAACAGCTGTGGACTGCGTATTTAATAGGAGCAAAGGTTTCTCGGTTTATGAGTATCTTATGGAGATGACACAGGTATCATTGGATGAAGTAATAAAAGTTAAAGTAGAATTCCTCACAGGACCCCTTTTAAGAGAAAATTTACAGCATCTTTTTCCTGATCTCATAAAGATCTTTCACACAGATCTTAAAGCCCACCGCTGTTGGCAAAACACTTCCTATGGCATTATATGCAAAATAAACTGAAAGGGAGGCTTGTCTTTAAAATTAGCTTTATTTTATAGATTATGAACACACACTCCCCCCAGACAAGCAAATTCAGGTTGCGGTTAAGAATCACTGACCTTGAAGTTCCTCCTGGAACGGTGAGATCTGGACTACCTGAGAAACGCTTACCATGGCCTTAACGACCAGAGCGAAGGCAACTCAGACTTAGAGTCATTCCAAAAATAGTAGTCTATCTCTAGCTGAGCCAATAGTTTCAGAGCATCTATTTTTTGTGAGTCCTTCTCTCCTCTCCTTAACATCCGAAGTCCCATTTGTCTACCTCATTTAGAATGTAAATGTACCTGTAGAATGTACAGCTATTTAAAGACACCACGCATGTAATTATATTTGTTCATTTTTTCCTACTGATCTGTGTGATAATTACTTGCTCCACCCACCCAAGAAGAACCTAGAAGGTAGTAAAAATAAATTTTTCATTGCCCCCTACAGCTACTATATCTAAAGTACTTAAAAAATAAACATATTTCTCACAGTTTTCAAAACTCAGAAGCCTAAGACCAAGCCATTTGAGGGTGAAAGCCAGCTTCCTCATTCCTCTGTGTTCTTACAGGTTGAAAGGGGTAAGCAAGCTCCTTGGGGTGTCTTACATAGGTACTAATACCATTGATGAGGGCAGAGCCTTGGTGGGTATCAGACCTACCTAATCACCTCCCAGAAGCCCCACCTCGTGATGTGAACACAGTGAGGAGTGGGGTTTCAACATATCATTTTTGGGAGGTCTGAGGGTTCTATCATACCATGTTACAAAAAATATATAGGATTTATGGGTCAAATGATATATATTTTGTTTTTTACTACATATCCCTAAAGTGCCTTTTTCAATAGCTGTTTACACTCTTATCAATGCTGTTTTGCATATTCCACAAATTCCCTTTGAACTAGGGATGTTGTTAGTGTTAGGCTGGCAGAAGTCTGGCCTACACCAACCAAGAAACTGACAAGAATCCGGACCTCTACAGGAGAAAGAAACTGACAAGTATCCGGAGCCTCCAGCGGGATGAAGAAAGTGACACGAATCCGGAGCCTGCACCCTAATGAAGACACTGAGAAGAATCGGAACGTGGCAGAAGAAATTGACAAGAATCAGAACCTGCACCCAGACGAAAAATACCACCTGAAAGGAAAGGGCACGAAAAAAGCGGACAAGCAACGCCGAAAAAAGAAAAGATGCCCCACCCTAGAAGCAGTATAAAAGTCCCTGACTTTCGGCCTCTCAGATCACTTGGTCGGTGTTGCCCAAGATCCAATAACACTCCTTTGTCTTCTCTGACCCTCTCTCACTGTCTTTCTAACAGTCAGCCTATTAAGTCTTTTCACAGCTGAGAAATGGGAAATAAAGTCTTTCTTGTGTCCTAACAGAACAAACCATGTCACTCTTCATTTTTTACTACTCTTAGGCCAAACCCCACTATCTTGTCAGTTCTTTACAATTTTTTTTTTCTGTCTTTAGTAATAGATGATCTGGTGAGCAAACAGATCTCGAGGTTTTTTTTTTTTTTTTTTTTTTTTTGAGTAGCTGTAAAACTTTAATTTAACCTGAAGAGGCACTTATGGGAAACTCTAATCCATTGTCAGCTGTTAGATGCACAGAAAACCGCTAGTGTAATATGCAAATTAAGGATGCAGTTTATGATTTCCTATTGGGTACTTAGTGACAGCCAGTAGGAAGATACAAGCCTCCCTCTAGTTACTATAGATGATTGTGGGGTTTTGACCAGTATATGAAGTAGAGAGCAGTCTGGGACTCTATCCTTTTCTTGTAGAATTTGTTTAAAGTTTGGGCAGATAGTGTGAAAACTGAGTTGAAATCTGGAGCACTCTGTCTGCTTGTTGGTGTGGGAAATTGAATAAACGCTCTCACACACACAAACACAGTGTAATGGGGGGAAGGAAACCTACAGGAAAAAATATACAAATTTTGAAATTATTTTTTATATGTACATGAGAGTTTTCACAAGAAAAGTGACCCACGGAAACAGTTACTAGAGTGCTTTATAAACTGAATTGGACAAACAGTAGTAAATTGTAAAATACCACAATACAAAAGGGTTAAGCTAGAATGTTAATTGGGTTAAGTAACTGGTAAGATAATGTTTGGCTTAACAAGGTTGG